ATAGAACATCTGCAAGCCCCAGCAATGTCACTTTTAGCTATTGACCCTCTAAAAACAAAAACATTAATTTGAAAGGACATAACCTAGATATACATCTCTGGAACACAGGATCAAGAAGGTGCGGTACATTTACACAATGGAATACTATGCATCTGTAAAAAAGAATACAATCCTGCAAGCTGCCTCTATAGGAATGGAACAAGAGGGTACCATACTGAACGAAGTCACTCAGAAGGAGAGAGGAACATACAGAATGGTTTCTCATACATCAGATACAGAGTAGGAGAATACAAATTGCTAAAAACAACAGAAAGAGCTGGTCCATAGAACCAAATGTATAAGGGTGGAGAGAGTGGGGAAGAGGGGGTGGTGAAGAGGAGGAGATAGCAGGGACCTTTAGGAGATTAGTGGAGGGAAAGTGGACACTCTAGTGGTTGTTAAGGTGCTAGCACAAAGTATGCATGAAACTACCTTAGTGGTATCAGAGATCACCACAAAAGTTTAAAAACTAACAAGTAGTGTGCTGTAGAAACAAAGCAGTGTATGGATGGGTCCAGTAAGACAGAACCAAAGAAAGGTATAGTCACTTGCCTTGCAAGTGGCTGCTTCTGGCCAATCCTCCTGCAATCTCTGGCACCACATATGATCCCTAAGCAGTGCAGGGGTCATTATTGCACAGAGTCGGGAAGAGTCCTTGAACACTGCTGAGCACGGTCCATGCTGTGCGTCTCCTCACAAATACGAGAATCTGAATGGAAGGGCCTTGTTGCTAACTATATGTGCTGGGGCGTGGATAGTGAGTGCAGTAAGTTTTATAGTTAGAGGCAGGAAGCTGTAGCTCAGAAATTGTAGTGTAAATAAATAAGAAGAATAGCTGCAATCCAAAATTCATATATTCTAAAAAGAGATCTATAGAAAATATTGGTACTAACATCAAAACATTCTGTGAATCTAATGTTATTCTAGTTCATTTTTAAATAGGTAACTCTAAAATCAGAAAGAAGGGGCTGGAGAGATAGCACAGCGGGTTGGTGTTTCGCTTGCACGCGGCCAACCCAGGTTTGATTCCCAGCATCCCATATGGTCCCCTGAGCACCGCCAGAAGCAACTCCTGAGTGCAAAGCCAGGAATAACCCCATGTGCATCGCTGGGTGTGACCCAAAAAGCAAAAAATAAAATAAAATAAAATCAGAAAGATTTGCTTACTCGAGCAAATCGATGAACAACGGGAGGACAGTGACAGTGGACAGAAAGAATATAAAGAAACCCTCTAATACAATACATATAGATTTAGCAAGGGATGGAAAAGAACTGTATAAAACTTCTTCACAAATGATTCCATTTTTTTGCATAAATCCAAAATAATTCTTGGGACAATTATTAAAACAAGCAAAAGAGCTTAGTAAACTTTCATGGTATAAAATCAATACCAACAATTTAATTATATTTCTATGTATTGACATTTTAAAATTAGAAATGAATATTACAAAAAAATAACCTTTGAGTCATTATTACAAGACTTTCAATTTTTTTCATCATGAGCCATCAAGTCATGGCTGTTGCAATAAGAATCATGAGTTTTCAAAAAACTTGGCAAGCTACTTATCTTTAAAAGTCTATTAAAAAGTAGAACAGATATAACAAAAGTGAGAGAAAATGAGGCAACTTGCCTATCAGATCTCTTTCATAATGTTACAATAATTAAGGCGTTGTCATTTTGCTACACAGAAATCAAAGGAACAGAAGAGATTTCAGAAACAGACCATATCACATATAAAGAGCTGGCTGTTAACTGGCTTTACATGTCATGAATGCAAAGAAACAATTACTAAATAATATCAGGGTACTATTTGATACTTTAATGAAAAACCTCACACTATGCACAAAATTTAATTCCAGATGGATCAAAAACTTCCTTGGGAAAAGCAGGGATGGAGAGACAATTTAGAGGTAAAGGTGCTCACATTGCATTCAGTCAACCCCAATTCAATACCCGGCCCCTAAGCATTGCTAGGAGTAGGCCTTGAGCAGCCCCAGGACTCCCCTAAAACACTCATAGATAAAAAAAAATTATGAAAAGAAAAATTTAAAATGCCAGCATGAAAAACTGTGAGCAAAAGAACATGAATAGATTTTCCCAGAAATGGAAATGAGTAATAAATAGTAATACAGAATTTAGCAATACGAATAAAAACAAAAATACTAAGGTGACTTTTTTGTTTTTTTTTTCTTTTTGGGTGATGCATAGGGTGATGCATAGGGGTTACTCCTGGTTCTGCACTCAGGAATTACTCCTGGCGGTGATTGGAGGAGCATATGGAATGCTGGGGATTGAACCCGGGTTGGCCGCGTGCAAGGCAAATGCCCTACCCACTGTGCTATTGCTCCGGCCCCCCTGACGTGAGTTTTGTATGTATTATACTACAGGCTACAAAAATTCAAATATAAGGCCCAGAGAGAGAGCCCAGCAGGTGGAAGTGCATGCTTCGCATGCAAGAGACCTGGGTTTGATTCCTTGGATCACATGGTATCCTGTCCTAGAATTAGCGCCATCTTTGGTGAGTCTCAAGCTGTAATCTAGTAGAAGTCTCTAAAGATTACTAGGTGTGGCCCAAAGCCAAATAAAGGAAAATTAAGCAAAATTTATTCCTTGAGAAATCAAAAGGTTGGTGAGAATTTGGTTCTGCAGTAAGTGCTATAGACTACTTAAAGTACAGAGCGATCATTGTTAAGAATAAGAAGCCTACTTACAAATAATAAAAATTGAAAGATTTCTAGATGGCAATACAATGCTAAGATATAGCCTCGGTGAAAATGATTCTGCATTCTATACCCAGAGAACTGCAAACAAGTCAAACATTCAACAAAGTATAACAAACCAACAAGACTGTTTATACAACAGAATATTATATAACAAGGAAAGCCAACTTTCTATGATTCCTATGGCACCATAAACTAATTTTTAAAATATCATATTGCTTACTTTTCCTTAGTACACACAGCACTATTTACCTGATGCATATTTCAAAACAGGTGAAAATAATTTAATTTCTAAATAGGTGGTATATAAGTTAAAACACACATGTGGAAAACTGTAGAGAAATAACCAGGGTATAAAGGATAAGAAAAATGCTTGTGTGCAGAAATAAGAATATTATGGTAAAGAGGGCCTCAAAGGAAAGGTATTTCAGAGCTATTAAGGTAGAAATTTTTCCTGAGTCTACTACTTAGTAAAGTTTTCACACATGAAGAGCAGTAAGCAGGATGGTAGTCTGAGTTTTATTATTGACTAGACACTATTTCAGTATTGACTAGACACTATTTCACCGCATTAGGGATGACAGAATGATGGTGGTGTGAACAGTAGCAATAGCTTGGATTCAAATGCGAGGTGTTTTCTATTTGTTCATTTAAAGAAAATAGATTTCCGGAAGAGTGATAGCTATTGGTATTTTAATGTAAAGTGCTAAGTAGGCCAGATAAGTTCGGGAATGCTTGTGTGTAAGTACCTACATGGCCCAAGTACATATAAGCACACGTAGTTGTGCTTTCTTTCCTGTAACACATACAAGGTGTTATGTGACCTCTTAACACTGACTTGTACAAACTCGAACTAGAGGAAGAGAGAGAGGAAGTGCTAAGACCATGTTGGCTACCTCATTGTTATATAACAGTCCTTTGTCTCTGAGCCAGGAGACGCCAGTATTTCAACCAGTATCCATGAACCCATGCTACCTAACTTGCTGCTCTGGCAGAAGGGGAAAATCTTAAACCCTTCCCAGTATTTCACCAAATTATGGAATCAAAGATATGAGAAGGAGACAAGAGGTTTATACAGCATTGTGTAAAAGTACCTCTACGGGTTTGAGTGAATATGGCTTTAGAAATAACCCCAAATGACATTTATGACACCTACTTCTATAATCTCTCTCTCCTTATCTATGAATTGAAGGCTTGAATAGCACTGTCTCTAAAGATAGGATAGCTTCTCATTCTCAAAGTCAATGATGAAAGATCTTGGAGAAAAAAAAATAACTGGAATGCATAGCATAGAAAAAACTGTGAAAAACCGCTAACTATATAAATGTTCAAGATACAAATCGTGATGACAGCAAGTACAGAGTTTATTTCATCTGTATTGAAATATTTATCTATAATATACCGTAAAATGAAATTTCTCTTTTAACTTGTATATCAAAGAGAAAATAACCTCACAGAGCTCAAGTAAAATATTTTCATGATATACAAATGCCATTGAAGTGAAAAATCTTCAGTAAGACCACCCAACCTTGACAAGTGTATTCACAAAGGATTTAAAGAGTAATATTTGGATGACATACAGTAGGTGGTCTTCTGCGTGGGTGAAATACTCCAGCTGACTTTAGTTCATGAAAATGCTTCCAGGAGAATTATGATAAATTTCTACCTGGGAAACTATAATGTTAGCCTAAATTTCTAATTCTGTTTTCAGAACAGCATTTTTCCCATATGAGGAACTATTCAAACCTTTTAAACTTGAGTAAGTATGTATGTTTAATATGTGTATATGGACAGTGGAAACTATGTATAATATGCACATACAAGTATTGAATTTTAGTAGTTTATTGTTCAGTCTATTGATTTAGTTTTCAAATGCTCAACTGTAAAATGTTTGGTAAATATAAGAATTTTGATTTTCTAATACAAGTATATTTATTGTTTGACTTCCCATTTTCTAGTCATATTTTGATCAAATAATTCCGTTTTTATTATAATTTACTTTAAATTATTTCAGAAGCAAAGAAATTAATGAATATTTATACATGTGTATAAACACACACACATTTTCTACACTTTAGCTAAAGCTTTAAATACGGCATACTTTCAATAAAACTGGAAATTTCTCATACCAGGAAAACATTACAAAGGATACCATAACATTTGCATTATAAAATAAAATAGCTTGATAGACTATAGCAGTTGTTATAGTACTGTTGGAATTTCAAGTACAATAACCTTACTTGCATATGTCATCTTCTGGGTCTTCAAGCCCAAATCTTTCATCAAATGTAAGTTGAATCCATACATTTTCTTCTACTGCTACTAATCTCCATACCAGGACCATATTTCTTGGATAAGTATGAGGAAACCGTGGACTGTGAATACTTCCATTAGTAGACACAGTGATAATTCTTTCATGCTGAGGATTTTGTACTCCTAAAGCAAAAACATAGGTATAGACAGATATTTAGAACAAACAATCCAAAAATGGTAGGTTTAAAAAAAACCTTTGTAATCATTTACCATCCCTCCACACTATATACATTATAAAATAATATCACACTATCCAGAAAAGACTATTTTAATAACCTGTATGTACTTATATCTGAAAGAACATAGTATATTAGTCTTTTCACATCTAACTGCTGAAAAGTCTAACTACCAATTCTTGAGGATTACTAAATATAAGGATTATATTCAATGTACAACTTCAACTAATTAAATATGAAACACTTGAATAAAAAGAAACATTGGATAAGTGTATTTCTTATTTTAAAGTAAGAACTTATCGCTAAGATACAGGCATTGCAAGCTGCTGTCCCCAGTTCAATCCTTACACCACATGGTCCTCAAAGAAAGACTAAATGTACCCTTGGATGCTCCATCAGCACTACTGGGTGCATCCTGGGGGGGGTATGAGCACTGCAGGGGGGCCCAAATAACCCCCCCACAGCCTCTGAGCCCCAGCCACATGCTCAGGCCTTTGTACTGAATCACAAGCCTGTGACCTACCTGGAGTGGCCTGCATGGGAGACACAACTGACCACCAAATATAACGGGAGCTTGGTGCTGTGGTCAATTATTAAATCACTTGCCTTATTTTAGTTGTGCAAAATATGGCAATTACTAAGATACAAATAAACAGAAATGTATGGACAAAAAATTCACAAGCAGATTAATACAAGAGGAAGTAACCAGCTTTCCTACCAAACCACTGGAATAAATGAAGATATCTCAATACACATCACATCTTCCTTCTCCATTTGTTTTTTACACCTAACGCTATCAAATCAGAACGATCATTCTACCCATGGCGTCTGAAAAAACATCACCCAAACAGGCCCAATGATGTCCAATCGTAAATGACCTTGAAAGTAAATAAAACATCAAAATAATGGTCTGATTTTCGTTCTGAGAGAATAATTAGCACTGTAAGAAAATATAAAGGTAACAACTCTGTATGTTCTCAAACTGATTTTAGTATAATCTTACTTCTGGTAATGATTGAATAATCAGGCGCGCCCCCCCAGTGTCCTACCCACTTATACAATCCCTCGCCTTGAGGGAGCGGGATCGGAGAAAATGATGATGATGATGATAACCTACTCCTATGATGACATAAGCTAACTGTTCAACTCAGGCTGATTCTCTGTGTGGGCTACGCCAATCAGCTGAGTCCTACCACACACATGTACATTTCGGAGTCTCAGGAAAAGTCAATGAGGAGGAGAATTCTTTCTTGCTGGCTTTAAAAACGGAGGAAGTGGGGGTATGGTACTGCCAGCAGGTAAATCTGTACCTGTGAGGCGAGTGCATCAGCAACCTGATGGCACCATCAGACTTCCAGATATCCCAAAATTACTGCTGTGCCTTTGGTCAGACCCCAAAATCTTGGGGCAAAGTTTACCAAGAAAGTAAACGGCCAAAAGTTAGGTATGTGGGAGACACACCCACAAACCACCTCCGGCTCAGCTATATAATTGGAGGCATGGACTCTCTGGTTCCTGATCGAACTGCTTAATAGCCATGATCCCAGAGACTCAGAAATGAATCTTGGAACCCAAAGGCTTTTGGCAGAAATGCGTCCTGTTCCTGCAGTAGGTTACTGGTGCTGGGCCAATCCAGGTGGGAATAGGTTTCGTGCCTTGTCCTGTTCCCCCTGGCAGCCCAGTGACCACCATCCTCCAGAGGCCACAGCATAGCCAGGTTTGGGCCTGCAGTGATGAGACACGTGGGGCCTCACCAGATATGGGTGGAATCGGCCCTTTCCTCCCCATCCCAACGAGACCCCGAGTCACCACCTACAAACGACCTCTCTGGTTCCTGAGCAAGCAGATTAATGGCCATATTCCCAGAGACTCAGAAACAAATCTCGAAACCCAGTGGCTTGTGGCAGAAATGCATCTGGACCACAAATAAGGTGGTCGCTGCCTCAGAGCTTATTGGAAAGCCAGGTATGAGCTGGTGGTGATGGGGCAACTGCAGGCTCGTCCCTCACGCCCTACCAAGGTCACGAGTTGCCCCCCACAAGTGGCTTTCTGGCACGGCCATGACTTTAGAGGCAAAAGAACTTAATCCAGAGCATAGCAGCTTGCGGCAGAAAAGTGAATGGACCATTCAACTATGGCGCCATGCCTCCCTGGGAGGGAAAGGGTGTCGCTCCCTTCCACCTTTTCCCCTCCCCAGGGCAGCAAGGTGGCCGCCATCTCAGAGCTTATGGGAGGGCCAGGTATGAGCTGGCGGTGATGGGGCAACTGCAGTCTCATGGGAAGGGGGGTGGTACCGGCTCATCCTTTACGCCCTACTAAGGTTATGAGTTGCCCCCCACAAGCGGCTCTCCAGCACGGCCATGGCTCCAGAGGCAAAAGGACTTAATCCAGAGCCTGGTAGCTTGTGGCAAAAAAGTAAATGGACCAAGAGTTAAACTACGGTGTCATGCCTCCCCAGAAGGGAAAGAGTGTTGCTCCCTTCGGCCTTTTCCTCACCGGCAGCAAGGTGGCCGCTGCCTCGGAATTTATAGGAAAGCCAAGTATGAGCAGGCAGTGACGGGGCAACTGCAGTCTCATGGGAAGGGGGGTGGTACAGGCTCATCCTTCACGCCCTACCAAGGTAACGAGTTGCTCCCCACGAGTGGCTCTCCAGCACAGCTATAACACCAGACGCACTGAAACCAATCTTATAATGATCTGGCTCTTTGCAGAAATACAAAATCATTGTATGACATTATATGATTCTCATACCAGCTATAGAAAACAAAGTATTTCACAATGCCTTTTCAGCAATTCTGATTGTTGGGGGGAGGGGGGAATTCTAAACAATAATGGTGCATCTTTTGTCAAAATAATGAATATTATCAAAGTAGAGAAGAGTTAAGTAGAAATCATCTGCCTCACAGGCATTGGGAAGAGTGGGAGGGGGGTATATTGGGGTCCTTGGTGGTGAGAAATGAGCACTGATGAAGGGAAAGGTGTTTGATCATTGTATGACTGAGACTTAAACCTGAAAGCTTTGTAACTTTTCCCACAGTGATTTAGTAAATAAATATAAGAAGATAAAAAAATAAATAAAATTATGAAAAAAAGTGAAGTTCATGCCCAATTCAATCAGCTAATCAGTGGCTGAATAAATAGCAGTACTCCGAATAAAAAAAACAAAAAACAGAGGAAGTAAGGTGCCATGGGACAGAAGTTTCCAGAAAAAGAGCATTCTCAATGGATAGCATGCAAGAAAAACTCTACCTCAGTCCTAAAACCATCAAGGATTTGATTTTGCTGAGATGCAAACTCTGCAAAAAGGAACTGAACCTAGCTGACACCTAAATTTTAGCATTGGTAAATTCTGAGGAAAATCTCCTTCATGGTACCTGGATCCCGATCTATAGAAATAAGAGGAGGAATGAAGGGGAGTTTAAAAGTACTGAGTTCATGGTTGATTTCTTACACATACTAGAAAATGCATGTATCTTTTATTGCATGCATTGTCACTGTCACTGTTCTCCCGTTGTTCATCGATTTGCTTTAGCGGGCCCAGTAACATCTCCATTATGAGACTACTGTGTTTGGCATATCAAATACAAAGATGTCTAAATTACAATACGCATCTTTTTGCTTCTCATTTATTATATTAATCAAAAGAAAGCATCTTGCATGGATAGAATGAATGTTAAGGATATGATTTCAGGGGCTGGAACAATAGTGCAGTGGGAAGCTTGTTTGTCTTGCACGCGGCCAACCTGGGTTCAATACCCAGCATCCATATGGTGCTCTGAGTACTGGAAGGAGGCTAGAGTCCAGGCTTTACATACTAGAATTCTGGGATCAATCCCTAATATCACATGAACCCACGAATACCACCAGGAACAGCCCTAAGCAATTAGTGAAAGAACAGCCCCTCACAATCCCTGGTATGATCCCCAAACACAAGGAAACAATGACTCTGTATGTATACCAATTGCCAGTAGCATGGATTAGTTGGATTATAAAGGTTAAAGAGCAACCTATTTCATGCTGAAATAGCTAAAATGAATCTCGCAAGTTGTAGTTAAAACTTTTAAAGCAGTTTTTTTTATTTTAATAATTTTGCTATTTCAAGAATGAGTTTAGCATTATTTTAAACATATTACAAAGATAAGGTAAAATGAATATCATTTTCTTTCAGAATATGCTGTGTGCATTACCACATTAGCAAATACGCTTTAAGTGGCATAGGATTTTTAGGTGAAATAAAAAAAAGTCAAATCTGCCATTCTTTTCAGTGCCAAATGAGTCCTTAGCAATTAGTTACCTACATAAAAGCAAGTTTTGTCTTACTGAATGCTAATATCTGATACAGCAGCTGGTTATGTTAACATATTTGAAATCATCAATATCTGTACATAATTTGCAACACTTATATCTCCTAAAACCACAAAAGAATCTAGCAAGTTAAATGATGTCATCTGTATATTAACAAAATGACAATTAACAATTTAAAATGAATTAATAAATTTTCTTGAATTATTTAATTGAAATTTTTTGCCTAAACTCTCAATTTTCTGCCAGTTGCCTATGTATTTCAGAGGTGTTTATAGCAAGCCCTTCCAATTTTGGCAAATTATATGCATATATGTAAAGTGAGTGTTTACATTCACTGTTCCTAGGGATCAAACCCAGTTCTCATACATGTCAGGCAATTCACATCCCTGGTTCAGTAAATAATATTTTTAATAAACTAACTTTTCTACTTACATTTACTAAAATTTATCATTTGTACCACTCATCTCAAAATGCTTTATGTCTTCCAAGGCACATTTTACAAATTCAACAATATTTAACTCTTTTAAACACAACCTAGAAAATTACCTGATTAACAGATCTAAATTCTACCTTTTACATCTTTAGCAAAAGATCTCAGGACTGAAATGAACATTTTTAAAAAATATTTTTATTATTATTATT